AATTGGGCAATCCTTTCCCCGCTCAACTTTCGAGCTACAGATTAGCCTACTATCGATATTCGCAGATACTCTGTGCTGGTTATGATAACATATCCAGAGGCCTTACAGTCATACACTATCTAGAAGACTTCTTGTTAATCAAAGAAAGCATATTTTTCACTAGAAGCCTCACGGCAGCTTAGTCTGGTTGACCACTTGGGCGTCCCAGTACCCCATAAGAAACAGAAGGCCCAGACACTATCTTCACATTACTGGGCATATGACTTGAGTCGGCATCCATACACGCAAGTTGCCACAAGACAAATAGGGAACATTCTCAACTACATCAATCACTACCTCCTGCTTAGTACTTACAACTGCAAGGAACTACGATCCCTACCAGGTTCCTTAATTTTGCCATGCTTTCACATCCAGAGTACTTTCCCCTTTTTTCCACACTTCCAACATGACGATCAGAGGAGGTGCCTAGACACCTCAGCAACAGCAGACCTGCACATGGGGGGGGGATTTCTTAACCACTTGGCATGGTAAAAGCATGTTCCTTCCAGGATTGTCTGACACTTCTCCAACCAGATGGTCAGACGCAGCGTATACCACGGGTTTGGCAGCGATCTACCGGGAACAATTGCTTTGGGGCTGTTGGCCATGGCATCCAGGTTTTGAAATTTTTCCACCACTTCAGCCCCTTTGGGAGATCTACCCCATTGTAGCAGCTGCTGTGGCATGGGGTAAATCATGGTCAGGGTCATCAATCCGTTGTTACTCAGACAACTAAGCACATACCATATCATCAACAAACGCCACTACTCATCCATAAGTTCATGATGTTTCTGGGGAACTCACTTGGTTGGCCACTTATCACATTTCACTTTCATGTACCAGACGGGGGTATACATCCCTGCCGACAACTGTCTCATTTATATTCCAGGCATGTTCATCATACGCTTCCTACAGCCGCCCATACAGTCACGTCCACTCTTTCGTTCCAGAGACAAAATCATGGATTAGACATACTCATGCAGCATAGCATGCACTTTCCCACCTAGCACTTTCGTCCCATACTTGTAGAACGCATAACACAGCTTTTCACCTGGCTTAAAGAATCTCATTGGAACACGACATAGCTCAACCTGTGTCACAAAATTTCTCCTAAGTTTTGCTTATTTTTGCCACCTTAAACTTAAACTATCTCATACACCATTAATTATATATTTTACAGGCATTCAACAACACATGATAACCTATGGCCAAAACTACCATAAACTTCATGCTATCATACCAGAAAAGAATATACTCAGAGGTTTTCAGGAATCCATTCCCTCACGTTCCTCTCAGAGATTACCAATAACCATCCAACTGTTCATCCTTATCGGACCTATTAGATCTACAACCATTCAATTATACTACCAAGTCGGCCATTACCAGCCATGCATATTGCCTTTTATGCCTTTCTCAGGCCAGAGAATCCACTACCATCACCACCACTCAGACAGATCATTGTCTTCAACGATCCCACGTACGTAAACACATATATCATTACCTATTGGCTCTACCACATTCCGAAATGAGTCAACATGCACCAACAGTAGAGATAACATACTATCCTACCCACAACAAATGGTGCCCACTTTCGGTCCTAGATTCCTACCTTCAAAATCCTTTCAGGAATTAAATACTGTAATGCATTTAAGGAAATGTCTGGTTAATTTGTATATATTTGTTGACTGTATTAAATCTTTGATTATTCATTTTTGCCCTCTTTATTTACAGGCCTACCGTATCGTCGGTATCGGCACACCACAACCGACTTGCTCCCTTTACACTATCCTAAGCTTATGCTGGATCCTTACTCCATATACGGCTATTTTGCCCCTTACACAAGTATTAAGGCAGTTTGCCTGTATTTGTGGGAGGGGCTTAAATTAATTCACTCCCCTATATAAGGGACACCCCTTACCTGACTCATATCGCTTGAGGTCAGCATCAGAATGACCCTCCCACCCACTCCTCATTTCAACACTTTCTCTTTTCTTTCCATTTACTTTACTTTCTTACTCCTTGGTGGGCCCTCTTTATTTACAGGCCTACCGTATCGTCGGTATCGGCACACCACAACCGACTTGCTCCCTTTACACTATCCTAAGCTTATGCTGGATCCTTACTCCATATACGGCTATTTTGCCTTACACAAATATATACGTCTGGATGACCGGAAGTGGAAATCATTCTGATGCTGACCTTAAGCGATATGAGTCAGGTAAGGGGTGTCCCTTATATAGGGGAGTGAATTAATTTAAGCCCCTCCCACAAATACAGGCAAAACTGCCTTAATACATATATATATATCTATATATATATATATATATATATATAAAAAAAATATATATTTATATATATATATATATATATATTTATATCAAAATACACTTAGAATGAAAAAAATATATATATCTATGTATATCCCCTTAACGACCGTGGACGTACTATGTACATCCGACAACAAACCGGTCGTTAAGGACCACGGACATATCTAGGATGAACGCAGCAAATAGGAGCCCTGCACTGACCTGGACCGGCGGTCCGTGGCGATCATGGTCGAGGGGGGGACTGCTGGAGACCCCAGCAGCCCTCCTGCAGCAGCTCCGGCCACCTCGGCCCTCCAGGACCATGTGATCACCATGATCACATCGCCGAAATAGGAGTCTAGGAACTGCCAGCAGGGTGTTTGTCTGAGCTGTCAGACAGTCCCCCAGACAGCTAAAAAGTTAAAAAATAAAATAAATTTGTTATACATATATATGTATAATAGATTATAAAATAATTAAAGCATTTTATAATATATTATACATATATAATTACATTATAAGTGTACTTTCAGATATATACATATATATCTCAAAATACATATATATATATATATACACATATCTCAAAATACACTTATAATGAAATATTCTTTATGTATTATATATGTATAATATATTAAAAATACTTTAATTATAATATATTATAGATTATATTATATATATACACACACAAACATATTATATATAAATATATATATATATATATATATATATATACACAATATAAATTCGGGGAAGTGGCTACTACAAAAGACTGGACATACCCCATTTTAAATACCCTGGGTTGTCTTCATTTGAAAATGGTATGCCATGATGGAGTTATTTCCCATTACTAGGCTACCATATGGACTTAAAAGGCAACACAGACTCAGCAAACCAATCTGGCAAACTGAATCGGGCAAGCCCTATATTGACCCTGTACCTTTCCAAAACACCAAAAAACCTGTACATGGGGGGTATTGTTATACTCAGGAGACTTCGCTGAACACAAATATGAGTGTTTACAACAAACCTATCACGACAATGAAATCACCAGTAAAAGTGCAGTTTTTGTGTAAACTAAATGCAAAAAACAAATATAATCGCTAGCTTTGGCAAGAGTTTGTAGATAAGTGGCTACTCCAAAAGACTGGACATACCCCATTTTGAATACCGTGGGTTGTCTACTTTTACAAATGGTATGCCATGATGGGGTTAATTTTCATTCCTGGACTGCTATACGGTCTCATAGGAAACATAGGCCCAGTAAACCAATCTTGCAAATTTCAATGTGCAAAGATGGAATAGGGGAAAGCCCTACATTTGACCCCTGTAAGTTTGCAAAAACCCATACGACCTGTACATTGGGGGCACTGTTGTACTCGGGAGATGTTGCTGAACACATATTGGGGTGTTCTTTGTCAGTAACCAATAACAGGAACTGAGAATCCATGCCTAAAGTACAAGGTGAAAGAAAAAAAATAAAAAAAATGACTACCCAAAGTTTTGACAAAGACTGGTGGAAGAATTAGTGCATTGCAAGTGTTAAAATACCACCATTTCAAATACCTTAGGGTGTCTACTTTTCAAAAATATATGGTTTGATGGAGGTAAATTACATTGGCCGGCTTAAAAATTGTCCCAAATAGGACATGGGTGCATGATGACCAGCTGTGAAAACTCCAAGTTGGAAAACCGGAATGCACACCCTCCAAATAAGGTCTTTTAGCCCCCAGAGAACCCAACACAGCTATGCATGGGTGGTATCACTGTACTCATGAGCTGTTGCTAAACACATATTATGGTGTTCTTTGGCAGTAACCCTTAAAGTTCTCAGTACATGTATTCTTAAATTGCTATGTGTGTCAAACAAATTACCAATTATTATTATTTTTTTTTTTTTTAATTTGGCATAGATTGGTGGTAAAATGGTTGCATGAAAGGAGCATGAAAAGAGTCAAAATAGGGGTGGGCCTGACAGCCAAGATGGCCAGACATGTCTTTTGAGAGCTCTGGCATAAATGAGCAAACTTTCAGTATCTACCATCTTAAATTGTGATATTTCCAGCCTTGAAAAACAGTGGTCTGGTGCTGGAACAAGAGTGAGCTGGCAGATCTAAGCAGTCTAATCGAGCACCACTAATCTTGGAAGATGAGGCCTGGTATGGGTTGCGGCCTGGTGGCCAGTGGAGGCGGCCGATCCCCTGACATGGGGCCCAACCTAGCCGGCAGCTTAGCCACAGCCCTGCTACCCCCCCCTTTGGACCGACGGGGGATATCCCGGTCCCAGCTGGGGAAACATACTCACCTGCAGCAGAGATCTTCCCTCACAAGCCAAAGACCACATGGTGACCCTAAGATGGCGACTGTACCACAAACTCTACACCATCGGGAAGACTCAGAGACCCAGCGGTGGAGAGAGCGCTTTGAGTCACAATTCAATCAGATCTGACAGACATTTTGGAGGCGCATACAACGCAGACCCCCCATTCCAGCTCTTCCTGCTGAGAGGGAGGAGGTGCCTGCTCCCTGCTCCAGTTCTGGACAGGAGCCTCATCCGAAGGTGCGCCCACCTCGCCGACCTCGCTTGGGGACAAAGCTCTGTGACAGGAGACCTACCTCCACTTTGAGTGGCCGAGCCGCGGCACACCAGGAATGTTCCGTGAGCCATCGCAGCTTGCCTTCATATTTTCAGCGTCGCCCCAGAAGACTACAGCAGAGGGGACGGCGCAAACGGCAGTCACTGACATCCACGGCAATTTCCAGCAGATTTGTTGCAGCCCGCTTCAGCGGTGGAGCAATAAGTCTCTCCATTCCCAGCGCAGTCTGCCTGAAGCACGCATCTGCACATCGGACCACAGGAGGTGCAGGATCAAGGTGCTGAGTCTTCGAGCCTCATCTACTGCAGCAATCACATGCACACTGGAGCACCTGGTGCCCAGGCTCGGTCAGAGAAACCTCTTCTCTTGGGCACAGAAAACAGCCAGCTCCAAGCCCGAACACACAAGGGCCGGGAGGAGAAGCGTGGAGGAACAACAGCAGCGAACTTTACATGGACACAGCAAGTATATGCTACTGATGCCCGAAACAGGCATATGCTGAAAGTCCCCTTACAAGCACTCCACAGCCCACATCATGGGCCCAAAACTGTGACTCATGTACTCCCCTTCCCTGTGACCACATGTTAAATATTTATGTTTGCATTATTTACTTTAAATTTCTGTGGCATAGGATAGATCTGTGCAACAACTTCACTGCTTACGTCTACCCACTCCTGCTCTCAACGCAGAGACATTTCAAATTCACTTAAGCTCTCTTGTTGTTTATATTATATTTTATTTTTCTCTCTTGCATTCTCTCTATTCTTGCCTCCTCTCTGGTGCAGTGTACCCAGTGGCACCAATGCTCAACCCTTCTCGACAACACAGCTTACAGTCACTCAGTAAAGCTCAATTCTCATTACAATTAGAGATTCAGCACACTGTCAGTTGGTATAACTCGTCTTAAGTCTGATTTGTGAAAGTCTTTCAATGACACGCACATATAATGAAGCATGCCTACATTTGTTTTACTTTGTTTTTATACCCCGCCAGTCACCTAACCTGACAAAATTTTAAAAATAATTCTCCTGGTGGGCACCCTATCATAAATGGACTTAAATGTTGTCACTAGACTCAACTTGGTTTTAATTAGATCATTTGAATAATCGTTTGACACATACTGATCCACCATGTCGTTTATATATATAAAAAACTGTGCATTTTGTCCTGATATTGTATGACATATCACTTCTTTGTATTCCTTTACAATGTTTATTCAAGCATGTATACTTAATCCTGCACTGCAAAAAAAAAGAATAAAAAAAAAAAAAATACCCCAAGTTTAATACCTCAGGTAATATATACATGTGTTATTCGGGATTTCTGACAGACACCAGTGTTACAATGTAACTTGTTAATTTTGAAAACAATGGTTTGGAAATAGCAAAGTGCTACACGTACGTATAGCCCTTTAGCTTTTAAAAAAAGCTAAGAACATGTTAACATTTGGGTATTTCTAAACTCAGGACAAAATTTAGAAACTATTTAGCATGGGTGTTTTTTGGTGGTTGTAGATGCGTAACAGATTTTGGGTGTCACAGTTCGAAAAAGTGTGTGTTTTTTTTTATTTTTTATAATTTGTTTCATAGTAAATTATATGATATGATGACAATAATGGTATCTTAAGAAAGACCATTTAATGGCGAGAAAACCAGTATATAAATGTGTGGGTACAGTAAATGAGTAAGAGGAAACTTACAGCTAAATACAAACACAGCAGAAATGTAAAGAGTGCCCTGGTCCTGAACGTTAAGAAAATTGAAAAACCATCTGGTCACTAAGGGGTTAAACGTAATTTATATACATCATCGCGATATATGTGTGTTTGCTGAACACTTTCTTTAAATTAACACATACTTGTCTTATCTTGACACAGATGTATTTACTCGCTGTCTGCCTCTTTTAGCCGACAGGGTCATACTTTGAGAAAAACATATTGTTTCTTCATTTTAGCACCTCATGGCATATTAGCTAAATTGCTTTTGCTATTATGCATGTATTATTTTTATGACACACTATATACGTATTTCCTTCCTACACAATATCTCTGACAATCCGTTATAGACCAAATGTTGAATATTTGGTGTTTTACAAGAACATATATTTTATATTAATGATGAAATAGTCTTTTAATTCAAATAAAATATTTCTGTATTTTTACCGTCATAACATTTTGACCACCAGGTGATATTTTCCAGATGTGATGAAAGTTGTAAATATGAAATACCATGCATATTAAATTGAGTTTAAATGGCACTAGAAAATATAAAAAAAAAAATATTGGAAGGCAAAGAGGGTTTTTAATTTGCCAGATGGCAGCATTTTTTTACACTTGCAAGTACCTCAATGCACACCCTTCCCAGCTGATTATATGTTTCAGTCAAAATCATTCTTCAAGAACTAGTTTCTTGCTGTGTGATTCGCAAGAGTGCAAAAGCTAATCATGCACATCACCTGAACAATATGCACTGAGATTCATACTTTGTTATAATAAGAACTCGATGAGACATATTCCACGCACACCAGCAACTTTGAGACCAAAACCTTCATTTCTCTCTGAATGCTTGAAAACCAGCCAAGTCTGAGATGCAGTACATCTGTTTGCTTACACATCGACAGCAATAGGTGATAAAATTGACATATAAAATGTGATCTTTGCATTTGTTTTGTCTATACAGAAAAAAACACAGTTACAGCAAAATTTCACATCAGAATAAATTCCAAGTTACACAATGCATGGCTGTGCAATATATCTGACCCATTTTTAAGGAATTGTAAGTGAGACTATATTTCTGTTAACTTGTTTTTTTATGTTCTAGAGAAAGATGGTATGGTTTTTATCATTGTAGATAAATTTACAGCATCAGATTCTTGTAGAAGGTGAAAAATAGGTAGTGTGCGTTAAGAAGAATGCTACTGAATGAAAAAAATAAAATCCCCTTTAGCTTGTGTAAACCTTTTTTCATGATATTGCCTGTGTGACTGACACTGCCTGCATGAAAATAAAATTATTTCATTTCCAATCAGATGAAACATACGTTAAAAGTTTTTATCTCCTGCTTGTAAATGTAGCTTTAATTACATACAGGAGGCTCCTGCAGGGTCTAGCAAGCTATTAACAGAGCAGGAAACAAGAAATTCTAAATGAAAAATAATTTGCAATAAAGGAAGTGTATACATTAGATGATGCTTTACAGGAAGTGTTTAGGAGGGCTGTGCAAGTCACACTAAGGAAAGTGTGACTAGAGCCAAAGTCATTTAACTCCTAAATGTCAGAGAATTTAGCAGTGAGACTGCAGATGCATGATCTATACACCAAAACTGCTTAATTAAGCTAAAGTTGCTTTGGTGACTATAGTGTAAGTATAGTGTAAGTTTCAGTAAGAATCACAACAACAAAACCTGACCCAGTTCACTATATAGAGCCACATTTTCCATCTATAATGAGTTAGTCATCTCTACTTCTAAAACACCTTGAAGAGGTTCTGTAGGGCCTATAACAATTTTATCTCATTAAATTGGTTACAGTACTTGGAGTCATCTTGTACTGTCCCTCCATTCAGTGTTAAATTATTTTAAAGCAGTTTTATACTAAATTAGGGTTCATAGCTGCTTACAGCCTGACCCCCACTGGAGGTGGCAGGGATTCCACACTTCTTTCTTGCCATACCAATTCATACCATCAATGGGCACTGTGATTGAAAGCTGTCCTCTAACATTTTCAGCCAATCACAGCTGCCCATAGAAGCTCAGGCTAATGCTTCCTAATTTCTTTCAATCGACATAGAAGGGATGGGCTGCTGGGGACTCTCCTAAAAATGGTTTAATACTGAATGAAAGGATAGTGCCATGGGACTCCAGACACTATAAACACTTCAATGACATGAAGTGGTTACATTTCCTACAGTATTATTTTAAGTGTCTTAAGAATGACACTATAGACTGCTTACTTATCTTAAAGGAGAACTGTCACCTCAATACTATATTTTAATATGATGGTTGTTTTATCGAATTTTGAAAGGAAATCTGTATTCTTTGTTGAATGTAAAAACATTAGAAAACTTTATGAAAGGATAATTGTATTAAAAAAAAAATGTGAGGTGACATTTGTCCCTTAAACATCTACTCATGCACTTCAGTAAATATACTGTGTAACATTTCCTGCAGGATTTGTGCAACACCAAAAACTTTTTGTTTGTTCTAAGGGCATTGTTAAGGTTATATATCTTTACACTTTATTGTTTATAGGCTCTCTGGAACTCCTGTCTTGAAGCTAAAAAAACCCAAAAAACAAAGCATAATAAAGCACACACATCGATAGGATGTAAGTGTTATATTCACTTTTTATACAGTCAGACAACAAGGACATACGACTGCTTTTACTGGCTGTGATGTGCTAGTAGCATGCAGGTCAGCCTCAATCTTTTTCAAAGCTGTATTGAAAGCCCATGTCAGAAAGGGTTTTGCAATTAGTCGAAAAAGCACGCAATTCAGTTTCACTCTGCTGAACCCAATCTGTTGGATTGACAGCCAAGGTCTAATAGATTCTTCCACTAGATAATTAGACCAGTGTAACGCAAGCACAAAATGAATTAACATTTGCACTTCAAAATGAATATTCAACACTGTAGTGTATGCTGTATTGTGTGGTGTTTTCAGTGATTAGCAGAGTTCCTTATTAGAAGCTTGTAACATTTATTGGTGCATAATGGCTCAAATTAAACATTTTATAAAGTTCCAGAGGTTTCACACAGTTTCTAAGGATAGTTGTGTTTTCTTCACATTTGCAGCAAGGATGATGCTTTGGAGAGGCTGACTTGGGCTGGAGCCCCAAGCTCCAGAAAAGCTTGAAATCTGATTTCTGCACCATTTTATTTATAACACTGTTACCTGGAACCTACAATTTTCTACAAGTACAAATCTGTAGTAATGAATAAGAAAACACCTCCAAGTGCCCTTTCTCTGATTACCTCTTCTTCTGATGCTCTCAGTTATGTAATTACACGTAATGTAATGATTTAATAGAAAATAGGCAGAGTTCGGAACAGCTAAATTAAAAAAGATAGAAGGGGCCACAAAGTGTACCCATTAATTGAAGCCCTTTTCGACACCTAGAAATGCCATTGCTTTGTAGCTATTGCATCATTGTGGTCATCAGAGATGATAAAGACAGATGCATGTTGTATTCATATTAGATCTATCACAAAACTGGATAAAGAACTGGGGTTTAACAAGCTTTCCCATTCATGATATATCTGTATTGAGACATTAGAAAATACATCTCATATTCTAATTATACGATAGAAACATTAGCTTAGTCAAGCTTGACTTCTGAAATGATAAAATAACACAATTACAGAAGAATGCCATAATGGTGTGCACAGCATTATTTATAAAGCCATTGTTTTTAAACTTGCTTTTAAAAACAGTAATACATCTTTTTGTTAATGTTGAATGAAAAAAGGAAATATATTGAGATCAACAAATGTATTTTAATATTTA